AGTGCAAATATATCACCGCCACTTTGAACATACAGTTCAGTGGTCAAAATAAAATACATTTGAATATATATAGCATGTCGTGTCCGTAGAGCAAAAAACAGCTATTGGCAGCTACTTGATACAAAATAACAGTAGTAATTATTCACTCAACTGGAGGTGAAATTACCACCTGTTCCACTACTTGTTTTGGTAATTTTAAGCAGCTCAGTTGAATGTTAAATGAACGATCTAGAATAAAAACAACTTATTGTTTGGTCGCATATCGAAAAGCGACTCAAAACGGTTGCATATCAAAGCGAGACAATATTTTGTTAACAAAGGAATAAAAAACATTGACTTTGTATTATAAAAAATATGTAAATTTCGTTTTGTGCTGATAACGAGCTACCGTTCTGCCATGTTTAAGTAACAGAAGTTTGCTTTGATATGCGACGCGATTCGACGGTGACGTTTGAAAAACAATACGAAAAATATTTCGCACTCATGACTGCAGGTACATGGCACACAATCTTACTCTAAACTGTGTGTACGACATAAAGAGAATAAAATGCGAGATAGCATTGGACAACGTTTTGAGTGACAGAGATGACAAATTTTTACGTTCTGATCACACCAGATGATATAGACCACTTAGCTGTGTTCGAGAATTGAAAAAATTGTATTTTTTTTTCACTTTTTGTGCTCTATATCGAGTCTCCGAGAGTTTCATATAAGGTTGCTATGTAGATGATGGAAAATCGCGAAAAATGAAAAAAAAATAATTAATTTTTTTTTCTTCGATTTACAAATACTATTACATTTTCTGTATCATCTGATTTCACCAGGTGATACAGAAAATTGAGTAGTATTTGAATGTCCGAGAATGAAAGTGAGACTTCTACTCAGAACATAGAAATATGTAACAAATCTTGAAGATTTTATTGAATTGTAGTACCAACGCAAATTTTATTTAAATGAAACACGGCGTGTTACACTTCAATAAATTTTGTTTTGGTATTACATTTTGAAAAATTTCTTGCCGTGTGTTTCAATTCAAAATGCTTTTTCACGATGTTGAGAATAAAAAAAATTGAATTTGATGTTACGAATAGAAAAAATTGGTTTTGATGTTACGAGTTAAATTTTTTTTATCTTTACGCTTTTTATGATCGGTTCAAACTTTGTGTAATCGCTCCTTCTAATTGGTATATCAAAAAGTGGTGTGGCTCTGGTATTATACGCTGAATCGTAATAATTCAAACTGTTTAATATGAGAGTTGACTTCATATCTCCATGAATAATTTTGAAGATGAAAGACACTTACGCCACCTTGCGTCTCTTTTCAAGTGTAATCATTTGTAAAAACAGCAGTCTATGTTCATATTTCGGAAGCCTGTTCATTTTCCTTAGCGCATAAAGTATAAATGGTTTTTGAATCATGGGGCGGAAATAAATGAGACGAAATTTTCTCTCTCATGGGCGCAGCCATATTGAAAATTTTGTATGCGCTTATATGTAAAATTGGTGGCGCCACTGGTATATTTGATGGAAAAAGAAGAACATGTTTGAGTCTCACTCGTTTATATGCAAATTACATAGGCATTTCCAGGCCATGTTTTGAATTGACTCTATTCCTTTGCACATATTGTCGTAGTGTGGATTCCATAATACAAATGTAAAATAAACGCGCTTAATTGTCCATGGATCGATAAAATCCTTGCTGTGGAACTTTAACTAAGCCAGTCTTGATTTGGCTTTAGCCGTTACATGCTCAATGTGTGATTTGAAATTCATTTGCACATTAAGCAACACTCCCAAGTCCCTTATTACAAAGACTCTTATTATTCCTATTGCAGTGATCCTCGATAATATGATATGACCTTTGTTTTGTTGATATTTAGTTTTAATAAATTGCGTTCATAATAATTCGCTATACGATCCAAGTCATTTTGAAGATTAATGCAGTCATCTGTTGAGGTGATACATTTTGAAATTTTTGTATCATTAGCGAATGAAAGTATGGTAGAATTGGTCACAACGAAAGGTAGATCAATTACAAACATGATGAACAAAGTAGCGCCAATGGGATATCCTTGACCCGTCCCAGAAGTAACTTCGATTGGGTTAGATTTGATATCTGCAATCTTTACAATTTGTCTGCGACCAGACAAGTAAGATTTGATCCATTTTAACAGCTGTTCATTCAATCCCATGATTTCAGGTTTTTGAATAAGTAAATTTCAGTTAACCGAGTCAAAGGCCTTGGCTATGTCTAAATAGATGGCGTCTGTTTGATGTCTTCTTCCCATGTTAATAATCGTTTTTGAAGAAAATTCTACTAAATTTGTTATCGTTGACCTGTTCTTGATGAATTCATGCTGACTTTCGTGTACTATGTTCTTCAAATATAGATTGAGATGGTCTGTGACGATCGAATCAAGAATTTTTGACGTAATGCACTGTAAAGCAACACCGCGATAATTTTGAACGTTGTTTCTATCGCCGTTCTTGTAAAATGGTCTGACAAATGACGTTCTCCATAACTGCGGTACAGTGGCAGTTTCAAGTGATTCCTTTAATAGTTTTGATATTGGCTCCTGTAATGAAATCAAACAATGCTTGATGAATTTGTTTGGAATTCCATCAGGACCACAGACAAGATCATCTGGCAGCATGCTAATATGTTGACCTACAAGCTCCTCGGTTATTTCGATCATAGATATTTCAGCACAAATATTAGAGTGATTTCCCCCTAGGTACATTTTGAAAAACTTCTTACCGTGTGTTTCAATTTAAAATGCTTTTTTACGATGTTACGAATAAAAAAAATTGATATTGATGTTACGAATAGAAAAAATTGGTTTTGATGTTACGAGTTAAAAAAAAACTAATTTTTACGCTTTTTATGAGATCGATCAGAAAAGTCGTGAAAAAATCTTCAACATGAATTGGAATGTAAATCAAATGTCAACATATAAGGTTATTCAATAGGCATCACATGGCAAGCTTATATGAAACTCTCGAAGACTCGGTATAGAGCACTCCCAAAGTGAAAAAAATTCAGACCGTGATTTGGATGATAAGGAATGCGATTTTTTCATTCTGATTACACCAGGTGATACAGAAAGTTGAGTATTTGAGAATTGAAGAAAAATTATTTAATTATTTTTTTAATTTTTCACGATTTTTTACTATTTACATATGAGGCTTGTATGAAAAACACGGAAGACCGCTGAAATGGCAAATGCAAAATATGTACGGACGTATGACAGTGTCAGATGGTGAAAAAATCGCAAAAAATGAAAAAAATATTTAATTTTTTTTTCTTCGATTTACAAATACTACTCAATTTTCTGTATCACCTGGTGAAATTAGAATAAAAAAAAATCGCATTCCTTATCAATGATAAGTTATCATCTCAATCACGATTGGCATTCGCATATTATTTAATGGGTGTTATTTGGCTGCTACATGGCAACTTTATATGAAACTCTCGGAGTCTCGGTAGAGAGCAAAAAAGTGAAAAAAAAATGATTTTTTTTTCTCATTTCCCGAACATCACTAAATGGTCTATATCATCTGGTGTGATCAGAACGTAAAAGTTTGTCATCTTTGTCACCCAAATCGTTGTCCAATGCTATCTCGCTCCCCCTTGCATGTATAAGAGTTTACAACGGACATTCTATTCACACATATAACTCGCACTTATATTTTTCTGCGCAATAAAATTGTTGACAATGTATTTGGTAATCGCTTTGAATTTTGTGTCGACGATTTTTATTGCGCAGCAAAATATAAGTGCGAGTTGTGTGTGAATAGAATGTCCATTGTAAACATTTATACATGCGAGGGTGCGCATGATAGCATGAGACAACGACTTGCCATTTGCCAAGCACGATTTGGATGAAAGAGATAGCAAATTTTTCACAGCAAATGATATAGACCATTCAGTGGTGTTCGAGAATTGAGAAAAAAAATGTTTTTTCTTCCACTTTTTGTGCTTTATACCGAGTCTCCGAGAGTTTCATATAAACTCACCTTGCAATAGCCACATGACGCCTAATGATTCAATCTCGATTGGTATTCGCTTACTATTCAATAGGTATCACATAGCAAGTTTATATGAAACGCTCGGAGCCTCGGTATAGAGCAATCCCAAAGTGAAAAAGGTTCAGATCGTGATTTAGATAATAAGAAATGCGATTTTTTCATTCTGATTTCACCAGGTGATACAGAAAATTGAGTAGTATTTGTAATCGAAAAAAAATTAATTATTTTTTTTTTTTCATTTTTCGCGATTTTTTACCATCTATATGGGAAACTTGTATGAAAAACACTGGCACTGTCGTACGTCCGTACATATTTTGCATTTGCCATTTCAGCGGTCTTCCGTGTTTTTCATACAAGCTTCCCATATAGATGGTAAAAAATCTCGAAAAATGGAAATAATTTTTTTTCTTCAATTTACAAATACTACCCAATTTTCTGTGTCACCTGGTTGAATCAGAACTAGAAAGTTCGATTCCAGCTCAATCACGATTGGCATTCGCATATTATTTAATGGGTGTTATTTGCCTGCTAAATGGCAACCTTATATAAAACTCTCGGAGACTCGGTATAGAGCACAAAAAGTGAAAAAATATCTGTTTTTTTCTCAATTCTCATGCACAACTAAATGGCCTATATCATCTGGTCGAATGTAAAAATTTGCTATTTCTGTCACCCAAATCGTTGTTCAATGCTATCTCGCTCAGCCTTACATGTAATTTCTCAAAATTCTGTTACTAAAACATGGCAGAACAGTAGCTAGTCATCAGCACAAAACGAAACTTACATATTTTGTACAGGGGGAGGAAAAATTTTTAAGCCTGACATATAGACGGCACTAGATACAAATTGTTCTTGTGCTGTAATTGACGTACGAGCTGTCAATAGTATTGCAGAAAAAAATTTAGTTGATATCTGTCGTCGTTTGTTTTCAGTAGCATTGCATACCAAGTAACCTCGATATTTTTGAAAAAATGGATAAAATCGAATATCGTGCGGTGATTAAGTTTCTCACAAAAGAAGGTGTGACGCCAAAGGATATCAATGATCGCTTGCGTGCTGTTTATGGGGTCCTTGCCCCATCGTATGCCACAGTAAAACTATGGGCAAAACAATTCAAGTGGGGTAGAGAATCATTGGAAGATGATCCTCATACAGGTCGACCAATTGAAGCAAACAGCTTCAGATGTACAGTGAATCTAATTTTTTTGATAGACAAAATAACAATCAAAGTAAGCAGAGAAACTCTCCATTGACATAGGATTTATATACGAATGGCGTGTGAGTGGAGTGTGCCATGCTAAATTTTGTCTACCGAAAATATTAGACTCAGTGTAGTGCAAAAAATTGAACATCACATGCACGAAAATCCTCGAATGAGCAAGAAAGTGTTAGCAGCAATGTTTGACATCTTAGTGAAGAGTATTTACAACATACTTCATGAAAAATTGCACATGAGAAAGGTTTGCTCGCGATGGATTCCAAGAACGTTGAACAAATCACAAAAAGAAGAACGAATTGCTGCTGCACACGAGTTTCTCGAGTTATTGGAATGGAATGAAACGGACACATTTGAGCGAATAGTGACTGGCGACGAAACCTGGATCCACTACTATGATCCAGAGCTCAAATCACAGACGATGGAATGGCACAAACGTGGTGAACCAGCATCGAAAGTGCCACGCAAACAAATTGCCACAAACAAAGTAATGGCCTCAGTATTCTGAGATGCCAAAGGCATATAATTGGTTGAATTCCTTCCAAAGAATACCACAGTCACGGGCTATTATTATGCTCAACAAATGCATAGATTGCGTAAAGCGACCAGAGAAAAGCGTCCTGGTTTGCCAAATATACCGTTAAACTGCGTCGCATATCAAAGTGAAACAAAATTCTGTTACTAAAACAAGGCAGAACAGTAGCTAGTTATCAGCACAAAACGAAACTTACACATTTTGTATAATAAAAACTCAATGTTCTTTATTTCTTTGTTAACAAAATATTGTCTCGCTTTGATATGCAACCGTTTTGAGTCGCTTTTCGATATGCGACCAAACAATAAGTTGTTTTTATTCTAGATCGTTCAAATGTCTTAACAATTCCATTTGTCTTAAATTAAACGCGTCAATAAATGTCCAATTTCACTGACGGTAATGGTGTTGATTTAAAATTTTCTCGTCAGTTAGAGTATTTGTTGCAGATGTCATTTTGTGTGCATAATAATACTCGTTGCATTCGTTGGCCGACGGCCATAATCTATTTACTGATTGTTTTTATATAGCGCTGTGAGTCTTCAATGTTTGAGATATTTGTGTTATAAATTTTGAGTCAAAAATTCACACCACATAAAATTTATTCAGAGGCTGTAAATATAACAAGCATTTCAAGAAGCAACAATGGATTGCAATAGTAGTGAATATAAAGGAAAATGTAAACATGCAATATAATGTACTCTTTTCAGTCATTTACTGAGACACAGAGAGAGGATTCATTATAAGAATATGTAAACGATGGACTGAAAGAAACAACAATAAAGATAACAAAATCGTGTGTGGAAAATTTACAGTTTACCGTTTTCATATTCGTGTGTAAACATTTGCTGCGCCTAATTGTAGATGCTTGGTTGTATGTACACGAACAAAAACAGGCATTCGTTAGATAAAAGTTTATTACAGTAAAACCACTCACGAAACGTTGCGAATATAAAATTTATCTCAAAATAGTCGACGATTTTCCCAAAAATTGCATCAAAAAAATATTTTAGTCGGTCTTGAAATCAGTTGATCCATTTTTCGAACACAGAGAGTAAAAATCGGTAAATATTTACTGATTGCGTAATTTATTACATGAGATAATATTGTGATAATTTTCACTAGTAAATGTCTCAAACATTTCTCTTGTATTTTACCACCATGTGCAGCGATTCCATTATTGTGAAATGTACACTTTGACGCTGATCTCTACTTAAGTGAGTAGAGAAATGAAATCACAGTCAGTTCCATTCTGTGTGCAAGAAAATATAAGGTTCATTGTATCCATCTGTTTACTTCAAGCTGTTAATTTTGTTCAAAATTTATCTCAATTTCTTTTATAGCCTTAAATGGCGTGTCAATCAACCGTAAAATTTGATTTCTTCAATCTTCATCTAGTTATAATTTTAGGACCTTATCCCTCTAATGCATTAATTTTTAAAGAGCTGGACTTTTTTATTCTAGTTGACTTTGTTGTGAGAACACTTAAAAAAAATAATTATAATCCCAAGAAAATGCATGATTCGAAATATGTTTGATAACAATGAAACTCAGAATTAAACTCATTGTTTGCAAAAAACATACAATATTTGGTACATTTTAATTTTGTGACGGCAAAAACCCGCTAATGTAAACAGACATATCGAAAGAAAAGTCAACAGTAAAAAAAATCTTTTTCATAAATATTTTTTCTTATTCAATTCATAAAAAATAATATTTTGAAAGTCTTCTTGTTTTTTTGTCATATTTTGAGTTTTGCCGTTCAGTCTGTGATTTCTGACGAAATTTAGTGAAAAGGGTGCGAAAATATCAGTCACCAGCTGGAGAAAGAAAAAAGGCTGCTACCGTAAAGAAAGAACGGACCCTTAGTTATAATTCTTTAATCAATTATTAGAACGCAGCGAAAAGTTTGCTTTTAGAGAAGAACAAATGACTCTATGGCTTTTTTATAGGATGTAATCCATAATTTCCGATACTCCGATAATTTTTTCCATATTGATATGTTTTATTTTGCATTTAAAAATAATTTATATTTTAGAACAAAAGTAAGTAAGCAGTTTGTTTCATATAATACTATATAGAATTATATGTAGTCAAGCCTGCTTTCTTTAGTCGCGTATTCTGATTTCTACTGCGATGTATTTTGATGAAAAACCATGTGAGCTATAATAAATCTCAAAATTCACTTCGGTTTACAAAATTTAAACATTGCATATGTGTAATTCATGATTCATTCCCCTATTAAATGAACAGCAAAAATTGAATACTTGAATCTAAAGTAGAATCAATAATGGATTTAATTAATACATTTTTTCGGGTGACATTTGCATGGCATTGTCGAGTGTGTATTGACACCAATGCACCGATAGAATGTAAAATATTGAACGCCCGCGCGACTAACGATACCAAAGTGGTTGGTTATTCAAATGGTTTTGTGAAGTGAAATAAATTGAGTTGAAATCGAACCACCGCCAAGTACAAGTATAACCCTTAACGAATCTTGAGCACTTACTAATTATAATTAACGTAATGACCCCGAAGGGTAATATATTTGAAACGACAGCTAACATATTTTCATTAAAATTACATTCAATACAAAACCATAAAGCAAATGGATGTAATCCACATGAACAACAACAGTAATAATAAAAACAACGGTAATAATAGCAACAATGCCAGAGTGAGAACACGTCTGAGCGTTCATCATCGTGCAAGCAGAAAAACCCCGATGTGCTGCACCAAGTTTTTTGCGACTAACATAAAAATTGGAACTGCAAAGACAAAAACAACACAGTGATTGTTGTTGTCGCATACAGAGCAGTTCACGTAACGACAAGAGTGGCCACAAAATACGGAACAATGAGAAACGAACACTTCAAAAATCCACGATGCTCTTTAACCAAAATCATTGAGGACTGAAAAACATCATTTATTTAATTTTCGATCCAGTTTTTGTTGTATGTATGTGTGTATTTCCGCCACTGAAAACGTGATTTCCCTCTGAAGTCGAATCGTATGAATTTTAAATAATTTTCTGGCCAATTGTAAGTGAAATTCAAATGAAATTGTATCTACTTCGGATATGTTAAAATAGAGAGTGATTCCGTGTATCACTTTATATTTTGATTACGACCGTTGGTTCTATAACTTTTTGGCTTACAATACAGACCTGCAAACGAATGATATTAAAGCGCAAAAGAAAAAAATGTACATGAAAACCGAAATGAATAGAACAATGGCAGAAGAGACGAAACGAGTTGGCGAATAAACATGGTTCAAAGATTCAAAGAAGGGTAACCATTTTTTCATTGTACTCTCACATACAGGGATCATTCTCATCATTCTCATCAGATTTGATGGTGAGAGAAAAAAATGCTGAAAATTACTTCATGGCCTGGTATTATTTTTACTTTTTGTTACAAACAATATGCATATCTATCCTATCAGAATGCATTGGTGGTTGTTGTCTATGAAAATTTTATTATTGGCCTCAAGTTCACAACTCTGTTCCAGTTATGGACTTAGTGTATTTCGATATTGTTTTTTATTGTTTTCAAGTTGTTGTTTTTTAATGGGCGATTGATGTGAAAATGTGTGTACATTTTGGTTTTATATATTAACTACCGGCAATCAACTTCATTGAAACGTAATTTATTTCCATAAGTTTATGTACCATAATCAAATTGATACTTTTTTGTTCATTTCAAAATAGACTATAGTCTTATAAGGAAGAATAATATCTTTGAGCAAAGTTCCAATCGACTTTTGGTGTATTTTTGTATAATATAACTCATACATCCAATAAAATACTATATATAAAATCGCATATATCACACTATGTACAGTACACTAATTATTTCGCTAACACTTCAAATTAAACAACAATTTACATATAACAATTAAAAAATTATAAATAAGAATTTTTATTTACTTAATTTTCTAATTTCTTAATAAAAAAAATAAAATTAAATTTATGTTGTATAAATATCTTGAAGGGATTTTCAGAAAATGATACTTGAAGCAAACACGATCGTTGATATATAGATTAAAAAATAGAAGTTGCACATCATTATTATCATCGATAGGAGATTATTATCATCGATTTCATTTTTAATATAATCATAGATTGTTTATCAATAGCAAAAACAAACATAACAAAAAAGATAAGCAAATTGACTAAAGATAAAACATTAAGGAAAATAATTAATGAATTGGTTGAATGTACTTTGTGCAACTTGTTTGTTTGTTTAAATTCGATTCAGAACATTGTTTTTGAGCTGTTTTGCTGGTCCGAATATTTTATGGTTTATTTCTAGATTGTGAGTAATTCGTTTACATTCGTATTTTGAGAATCGTTTGTAAATAGCGTAATGCATGATTAACTGTTTATTCATTTAAATTCAATGAATCGATTCTTTGAATGATCATCGATAGAACAATAAAAACAATCTAACCCTTTTTTTAAATAAATAAATGAAATCAAAGAGTTTGAATAAAAAGGCGGTAAGCGGATTCGCATCCAACGCCTCATTATTGCATTTGTCGTATAATATGCTCTAACATATTCACACAAAAAAACTCAGATTAACTACATAAAGAGGTAGATCCGATCAAGTTGTGATTCAATCATTTGTTCATTTGAATGACAAACAATTACAATGACCAAAATCTCGCCGTACAAAAACGATCTGAAGCGATGAACTATATCATTTTTTAACAATAACTCTCTTCTATTCTGTATTTATGTTGTGACGATAAGATCAAACCGGAATCACACAATATAGGCACTCCATTCATTGTCGTTGCTATGATTTTTAATTGTGTATTTTCTGGTATTTGTTTATTATAATACACACTGCGGTAGATGGTAACACAAGTTTTTGATGTACAAATACGTGCTTTAAGACAAGTGTTCAAAATATTCAAACAATAAATATATTTCAAAGTGCAATTTATCGCTCTTAAAATTTCAAATG